CGTGACACTAACGTCACGTGCGAGGCCACTAATGAACGTTCTAATGCTGCTTGGCATAGACCCAACGGCTGGTCCAAATGCTCGGTAAAATCATATCTTGCCTGGAATCGTAATTGGATCTCTTCGAAGACGTATTATACCTGCGCATCACCAGTAGTCTTGGCAGAACATGGATAAAAACACGACGGACCCACGGTGCCATCACGTGCGTCTGTGGCGACCGGAAGTGAACATTGAGGACTACCACGGTTACGCATATACTGAAAATAGACGTTACATTACATCGTACTGCTTATTCGCTAAAAGAAAGAAAAAAAGAAAAAAAGCGTCGAACGTAAATCGAAGTCGAACGCAGAGAGTCGAATCTTGATAAATTTCGGATAAATTTGGAAGCCCGTGGAATCATTCGAACGATCAATTGCAATCAAGAGATTCCTTCGCATGTACAACTTATTCGCAATCTTATTAAATTAATAATTTAATATATTTGCAGCGTTAGTTCCACTTCGGTGGAGCAAATTGAAATACTTGTCGATGGTTATACCTGAAGGTGTCTAGGATCATGGTGAAAAGGACGAATTTACCGAGAAGCGGTACCACGAGCGATGTGGGCGGGATAATTTCGGCCAGCAGGAGGAAGAACACAGTCAGCGACAGTAAAATCGAAATTGATAGGCTGACCTGCAATTAAACAATCAGTCGTGTCAGTTACATCCATACCTTTTCTTTTTCTTTTTCTTTTTTCAACACGAACGAAACAAGAAGAGGGGGAGAGGAGAAACAAGGAGGAACAAGATTAAAAAAGAAAAAAAAAGAGAACGAAAGAGAGAAGGGAACAATCGAAGACAATGTGAATTCCGATTCGATTTAAAATTCTCTCTAGCAGAGTGTGAGACTTTGCCACAAAGAGCCCTCGAAGTTACGTGCGAAGAACAAAATGTTCCTTTCGTTCATGACACGAAATTTATTGTATCTCAAACACGTGTCCATCCAATTGCATGCCAATTAGAAGAAGACCAACTCGACGATAAAGAAGTTCTTATCAATAGGAAAAAAGAAAAAAGAAAAAAAGGAGAAAGCAAGGATTCACTTTTAATTGGAAACCGACGACACACTTTCGAGGCACTTTCTTTCAAACGTTATTTCGCGAATCTTCTTGATCCCCGAGGCGAGGCATGTATTTCTTTCAAAGTAAACCGCAAGTTTCCAAACGCGAACCTGTGTGGGATACACGCGATACACGCGAAGATAAACGTGACCAAGCGGGGGATATTTCGCGATAGGTCGGTGTGTAGGTTTCAAATCAGTAGGCAAACCAGAAGCGAGGAAACAAAGCCCGATTCGAGAGGGCATTGTTTCACCCGGGGCTGGCAGCATTCGTCTAAAGTAGCTAGCAGATTTGCAGTTCCAAGCCCTGAGGATCCGCGCTCACTGCTCGCGATCCACCCCTTTTCAAACGGGATTCACCGCGAAATTTTTCTGTCTGTGTGTGTGTGTGTGTGTTTAGAAGTCGTTTCGACTTGGTGATACGCGATATCAAGGAGTATTGAAAGGGATGAATCGTTATTTAGATACCAAGTCTCTGCTTTAAGCGCTGCGGCGACTGAAAGTACAACAAAGGTAGAAAATGGCTGTGGATGAAGAAACGAGCCTAAATATCGGGACGTTTAAAGAAAGAAAAAAAAGAGGGATCGATCCGTCCTTTTTAAAAGAAGTAGATTCCCCATTCTGACAAATTTTGAGAGAACAGAATTATTGCAATATTAATATTTCTGTGTGTAATTATTTGTCTGTATCGGTATACATTTTTCTTCTTCAATTTAATATTTAATACATGTATAATATCATTAATACGTATTATCATATATGTGTACGTATATATATATATAATTGTATATTAATATGTATATATTAAATATTGAATTTTACATCGATGTAAATAATTTGTATGATACACGATTATCACAATTAAATTATCATACAATAATTCTGTGATATACATACACGTTTAAAATATTTATCATCATTGTTTCCCAAGACTTTTAATTATTTAATTACAATACTCGCAATACTCGTAAATAGTTACTGCAATATTACTATTGTTGCACGTTTATTCGTATTTCGTCAAAATGAAGAGATAGGTGTCATTTTGGTTGGAAACGAAAGGTACGCGAGTTCTGTCGAGAGATGCACGGGTGAGGGGGACAGACTTAAGAAGAAGCGCGAGTCTTTGGGACGGTGTTCTTTTCCGCCAACGAATCGAAGTGTCGGTGAGCGACTGCGGATGGCACGCTCGCTGACATCTGACCTTCTCCTACTTTTTTCTTTTTTTCCTTTCTTTCTTTCTTTTTCGCTACCCCCGCCATCCTCCCCCTTCTTTACTCTTTTGCCCGGAGGCAGAACAATACGACTGAATTATAGAGGCGCGTCAAGTGGGTATCGGCTCGAGGTCAAGAGTCTACGAGGAATGGAGGCCGAACGGCATTTAGAGGTTTGCATTCCGACGATGGATTTTGATATTCGACCCTTCCCGCCCGGAATTCCGATCGAACGAACCGACTTTACCCCACCGTAATCAACCCCCGTTGTGCGACTGATATTTCCAATTTTCCCCAATTTCGCCACGCTGTACTTCGTACTTGAAAAACTTTAAGTTTCCCTCACTTTTGAGAGATTTCAACTGTGTTTTCGAAACACTTTTCTCTTTCAATGCATCAATCTGAATCTCGTCTCTTGAAACGAGATGTTGATTGTCAAGCTTGGTTTCTTTCGTTCTTCGAAAGTGATGACTGGCAATGATGAATTGTCAAATGGAATTGATGGAAGAATTCGTTGAGCGGACTTTCGAAATTTCAGTTCGATGGTTGGAGTTCATGTTTAATTCGTTAGAAGTTAAACGGTGGTAGAAAAGGCTTAGTAGTTTATTTCTTATAGAATATATTTTATTGTATTATAATTTATATATTATAATATAATTATAATACAATATATAATTATAATATAATTTATATATTATATAGTTTGTCTTTTAAAGAACATGATAATACAAAATTTGTTTCTTATGTGACTCGTACAACTTTCGTGACATTTAACAATACTTTGAATTATATTTGTAGTATTAAAAGAAAAGAAAATAAAATCGACAATCAAGTGAAGAATGATAAAGATAATTCATTGCCTTTTCTATCACGTGTAATCATATCGAGAAACGATTCAATTATTAATTCAAAATTGAAATTTCCAAAATTAACTCCTTGACACACAATGACGTCTGGGAGACATCATGCGTTTCCTAAGGACTATTGAATTATTA